ATTCAGGCACTTGCTTTGGCCCTGGTGCAATAAGGAGCCAATCTGGAGGTGGCAGCATAAAATGCAAAAATGGCAAAGCCTGGGGTTTCCGAACCATCTACCCATCCTAGTTGTCCATCCTCGAAGTCCACATCGCTACCCACCACACCATCCGACGCTGCTGGCATCTTGGAGAGCCTATATGAAACTTCCCCACACTTTTCAACATGTGGCCCCCTTTTTTGGCTACCTTTCACGTTATTTTCAATGCGCAGTCAACTGGCGCCTTCTACTGTACGGGCAGTCGACGCCATGAATGAAACAAACGACGCTGAGTGAATTAAAACGGCGATTTCTGACAAAATCGTTTTCAGCCATTTTTTGGCATTCAGAAGGCCATTCAGCCGAAATGGACCATAGTTTTATACTCAGTGCTCATGCCCCTATACCATGCAGAAAACCATTTTCAAAGAGCGTCCCACGCCCTGAAAGACCTTCCCTGTTAGTCTTCGGACGATTATGCAAAGCAGAGTGCTATGGCGACGTTGCCGAACGGTGTTGTGCGAAATCATGTGGATATCACTGTAAGTGATAACGTAACAAAAGATGTAAAATAATAAACATTTTATAGTGACCTGCCCCCATTACCTTCATTTTCTTTTTATGCTCTCTCATTTCTAGGTCCATAACTTCTGAAGTTAGATGAAAAATCAGTAACAGCAGCCGACCGAACCAGGGACCATGATAGGCGATACTTAGCAAATTCGAGTGGGGAGCCATGAGGTAGGAAGAAAGAAATCATCATGCTCGGAAATCCATTATCAAGGAAGGCAATCCTTGACTTGAATACTTTGATTTCCCGACGTTCCCATTGATCGGCCATTGGATCTCACATAAGGCTCAATAGAAGGAAGAGCTCCACCTGAACTTCACTTGATTTTTTCTACTACATCAATTCCTTTCTGACTTTACAATACAGCGCACCTTGAGCGCATAAATGAGTTAAATGAATTCAGCTGGAACGACTGGGTTGTATGGGAAGTTTGAGCAAATTTTTGATATCTACTGTATAAAAAAATTCGCACAAAGCAGATCCGCTTACTAGATAATATATTCTCTTCCTGATCCTCTTTCTCATTCTGCTCAATAATAGTTCGCCATCACTCCGGAATGGTTATACCACTTTGCAGGAGTTCCAGACTCAAATTTAAAGTTGTGCTGAGTGTATTCTGTAGTCCTTTGAAAAAGCAAAAAAAAAACAAAAAACGAATTCTGCAGAAATCTAAATAAATGATAGCCTGCTGTACTTGGGGTACGCTGTACCATCCGTACTCCAGTAGTGCTTGAAGAGTGGTTAAACGAGAAGAGTGATATGATGGTCACTCCGTCACTCTATCACTTCTCATTCCTGAGTTTGTTGTTGTCTTGAACTCTTTCACGAGGTTTTTATATAACCTTTATTAGGCTGACGTTTCGGCGGAATCGCCTTCTTCAGAGCCTGAAAGGATCATAACAATCTGTGATNNATCACAGATTGTTATGATCCTTTCAGGCTCTGAAGAAGGCGATTCCGCCGAAACGTTAGCCTAATAAAGGTTATTTAAAAACCTCGTGAAAGAGTTCAAGACAACAACAAACTCAGTAATATAGTCATGCCGAGGTTCATAGAAAGCCGTACATGGAACTTCTCATTCCGTCCAAACGCGACAGGGACGACTAGATACATTGCTGGTCTCTCTCGATCAAATCAAATCAACGGGATGGCAGGTGATGACCGATTAGATTGAAATGGTTACAAGAAACGAACTTTAGCTATTAGCTCAAAAGATGGAGTTTTCCACTTCCAATATGGACGCAGCTTTGTTCCATCGCCTTAGCTTCATCTTCATCAACTACTTGAATGCAACCAATAGCTGATCTGGCGTCATGGTGGTTAACAACGAAAACTTCAGGGATAGCAAACCACTGTCACCAACAGCATATTGCTAAGTAAATTGCTGCGAACAGTGACGGACTAGGTTGAATCCAGGTCGACGAGCTTTTGTGTCTGGAAGGCATCTCATAATTTGTGTTGGATCATCAAAGTCATGAATGCTCAACCCTACCGCCATAACTTCATCTTCGGCTGAAATACAAACCCCAAATGATAAAAAAGTTGGAAAACTGCTTAGACCTTCCATGCATTTTAACCAATCTTTACGAGCAACAACGCTGCCTATTGACTCATAGAAAGCCAGATGTTGTAGTAACGAGTGACACACTGTCACATCCTTACGGAGTCAAATCCCAAATCCAGTCCGTCATCATGAAAGCCTAGGCTAGTCAGGCCTTCCCCCTTTCCGGTGTCGGTGAATTAGTACCAGACTCGTCTCGAGAATAACTGACTTTTACATTTAACTGGGATCGCAAGTCATTGTATAGGTACATGGGTATTCGATATGTCTCCCATTTTGTAAAGTAAGCCAATGCGTCTGCGCACCCCTAACAGACTACCTATTTGTGGTTAACCTCATCTGTAGTTATTATATTTTGATGACTATTCTTACTGAAAACTCTTTCAGTCATTCGTGGTTTCAAGTGATATACATCTAAGCGCAATCAGATCTTCATGAATAATATCTGACCGATCAAAGCGACCCCATAGATGCGTTATGATCAGCCTACACAGTACCCTCCAATTTAGATGGTCTGCCCTGGTTCTCCACTTCGAACCGAACTGATTACTGAAAAACTTCTCACCCAAGCTCAATATGCCATGTGCCATGTTTCCATGATGGAACAATTGTGAAAGCTCACAGTAATCGGTGAACTGGCCTCTGCTGGCCATACAACACCCTGAGCTTTTTCTTAGCCGATATTTCTATTAGGCTGGAAGATAAGTCCTGCAACACGGAATTTTTCCTACAAGAAAAAACCAAAGCCCTTTTCAAATCTTTTCGCGCCTTATTGCTGTAGAGTGTTCCTGAAGGGTTTCGAAAATGGACATAAAGGAGCTCGTGAAAAGGTCCCTCATGATTTACGCCTGTTTGACCATGAACTACGCCCGTCCAACAAAACGAACAGGATGCACATGGCTGAATCTCTTCTGCTTTGTCCCCATCGAAAGGACTTATGAGACATAGTGACCGTATATGAGAGCTGGGCACTCGTAAACCACATACGTGAGTGTGACTGGGTTGCGCGAAAAGAAAAGCCACATACGGAGCCTAAAGCGGACTTCCACGAGCAGTAGGTTTTATTGTGTTGCTGGTTGGAGTGCAGTGGAATGATTTACTGATATCTGCTAGGCAGTGGCACTACAGTGACGGCCACAGTCTACGCCAAGCACTTGCAAAGAATGGTCGACGTAATGCGAGAGTTACGCCCGAAAAGACTCAATGTCTTCCTACTCCACGATAAGGCACGCCCGCATGTGGTCAACAAAACGCGTCCAAAAATTATGGAACTCGGATGGGAAGTAGTGTCGCATCCGGCTTACTCATCGGAGCTAACGCCTTCTGATTGCCACCTATTCAGAGCACTGAAGCGCAATCTAAACGAAAAAAAATTTGATGATCGCCGTGAACTCAAAAGAATCGACGACTTTTTTCGTTGCAGCTACCGGAATTCTCGAAGGGAGGGCTTGAGATTCCGCTCAAAGGAACGGTACGTGACCTAGTCAGAGAGAGGACCTTGAAATAATGGTGATTATATTGTGGATCGAGGGACTTGTCTAATGAAGAAATATAAAATTCAAAAACTTGTCCGAAGTGTTGCAAGACTCATCTTCCAACCTGATATGATATAGACACCATAGCCCTGCCTGTATCAATAAGGTTGAATACGGCTATACAATGACACCATGAGTTTGCTAGTATACCTGTTATGAAAATGTATTACCTTTAAAATATGGATAAATCTAAATCATACCTGATTTTAAAATTAAGGCTAACATTCACCCTTTTATTGGTACTACAACCAAGCAGTTACCCTGTTCTGTATATTGCATTAGGCTGGCAAGATAGACTTGAAGCAGTTTTAGAAAGTTCCGGATTTGTCGATTCCTTTTCGATACCTATGATCTACCACAACTGTAGATTAGTCTTGAGTTACAATAGGTATCGCCACGTGCCCTTCAATGATTCGGTCACAATATCACATCCTATAGGGCTCTTAAGAAAGTAACAGCTCTTTCTGCAAATTCATTGTCGGTGATTTCGACGCCAAGATCGGCCTCAGGAGATCAAGAAAACACTGTAGAGGTATGTATCGGGACTGACGGAAAGAAGTGGAACGAGCTGAATGTAAGACTGATCCAGTTTGTCATATTAAAATATCTATGGAAATCCGTAGCTTCAGAATCCTCCCAGGTGAGAAAGATATGAGAGTTAACTGGTGGACATAATCACATAACCCCTCTAACGAAGAAAATCACATCTTCCATCAAATATTCTGCCTGACTAACTTCACTGATGAAGTTCCACACTGAATAGGACAATCGCTTCTTCCGGCTACTATTGCAGGAGCATTGCCACCATTCTTTCTCTCCGTTATTACACATGAAACACATATTAGTCCACTATTACACATGTAATACATATTAGTAAATGGCTAATAGTGGTATGATTTTAATGCTATGAAGAGCAATGAAAACGCGAGGAGCTCAGCTTACAGCTCCCTACGGAATTTTTGTGACTGTGTCTTTCAGCATGCTCTTTCAGCCGCATCTTTCACATAGAGCGATCATAGATCTTTATTTTACTTTACTTTACTAGAAAAATGAAACAGTCACCGATTTACGACTATGAATTGTTAGCTACTCGTAATTACTGCAGATAATCTACCCGCTAACATAACAGACGCAACGGTGCACGAAACTAACATGCTACACAGATAAACGAAATGGGATTGTGTCAGGGTAGGGAAGAAGAGATATTGGAGCTGCTTAAACTGGATTGCGGAAGTTTTGTCCAGCGTAGACTGCGTCTTTTCCGAGTTCTTCCTCAATACGTAGCAGCTGGTTGTACTTGGCCAAGCGCTCTGAGCGGCATGGTGCACCAGTTTTGATCTGCAATATCAACTCATTTGCAGCACTTCAATATAAAGCCTACCATCTGTTTAGCAGCAACTGAAAACCGTACCTGGCCAGTAGCAAGACCGACGACAAGATCGGCAATGAAGGTGTCCTCAGTCTCTCCAGATCGATGAGAAACCATTACACCCCAGCCGTTTGAGCGAGAGAGCTTGGCAGCTTCAATGGACTCAGTGACCGAGCCGATCTGATTCACCTTAAACGGACATGTTTTACAACACCTTAGCTGAGATCAAAAAACAAAGCAACATACTTTTAGCAGCAGGCAATTGCAACTTTTCTTGTCAATAGCTAGACGGATACGCTTTGGATTGGTAACAGTCAAGTCGTCTCCGACAAGTTGGATATTGGTAGAAGCCTGCAATAGGAAGCTACTGCTACCCGGAATAGTTATAAGTTCAAAAAATTTGTTGTTTACCTTCAACTTGCCCCAGTTGTCCCAGTCATCTTGATCGAAGGCGTCCTCAATTGATACAACAGGGTATTCTTTAATGAAGGTTTGGTAAAGTGCAGCGAGCTGATCTCCAGTGAGCCACTGAAGTGAACGATTTGAATGCAACATGAACCCACAGCTCGTAAATAAAGCAATCAAAAGTGATCTTCCATGAAGAGGAACTAGTACTCCCAATAACCTTGCTAGGATCCGACTTGGGATTCTTGAAGTCCAGGTCGTATTTGCCTTGTTTGTAAAACTCTGAGGCGGCAACATCCATACCTATCGAGATCTGAAAACAAATTGCGAGACATTGAAATTGATTTTTACAGCTGCCTTTACCCAGAGACATTGTTAGTGAAAAAACCAACCTACTCCAACTCTAGCAAGAATTCTCACCTTTCCTGTATACCCAGCTAGATCGATGGCAGTTTTCAGGAGGTCGAGACCTTCCTTATTATCTTGAATGTTAGGAGCGAAACCACCTTCGTCTCCGACAGCAGTAGCGTCAAGACCGTACCTTGAGAAATCAATTCTGAAGCAAATCCTCAACAATATCGCAATTCGTATCGCTCACCTCTTCTTGATCTCAGCTTTGAGATGGTGGTACACTTCTGATCCCATTCGCATAGCCTCGTGGAAACTTGTGGCACCAACTGGCAAAATCATGAACTCCTGAATTTTTGGGATTAAAACAACCGTAGAAGACAGTCGTACTATTTTTTCATACCTGCATAGCAAGTTTGTTTCCAGCATGTGAACCACCGTTGATAACATTGAAAGCAGGAACAGGCAGAATTACCTTGAGAGAGCGAATAGTTAATGAACAAATGTCAAAAGCAAATGGGTGTCAATAAAAATTACCTTGCTGACACCGGCTAGTTCAGCGATGTATTTGTATAGAGGCATACCCTTGTGAACGGCCCCTGCCTTGGCCACAGCAAGTGAGACACCAAGGATGGCGTTGGCACCAAGGTTCGACTTGTTCTCTGTTCCATCGAGAGCGAGCATGAATTGATCAATGTCCCGTTGTTGAGTGACACAGAAGTTCTGAAGAATGTTCACGGTAAACAATGACAAAGTCATTAAAGAGAATTGCAAACTTTCGACACCAACCTTGGCAATGAGAGCAGGAGCAATCTTGTCGTTAATATTGGCGACTGCTTTCAAAACTCCTTTACCATGATGGACCTTCTTGTCCTGGTCACGGAGCTCAAGGGCTTCGTGCACTCCTGTTGAAGCTCCAGACGGAACTGCCGCACGAAAAACACCTACAAAATCGTTCCCATGTTGAAGAGCCGCCTTCCAAACATTACGAGCCTCTCCAACTATGTTACCTTTTTTCCCTCCCGAGTACGGGAAATGAAATTAGAAGCTAATTTTCCTACAGAAAAACACAACTTGTGGGAGGAGAAGGCAACTTGAATAGGTAACTTTATTATTTGTGTGCACTTGCGTATGGTTCTCAGGATACATTGGTCCTCAACTGGATAGTCGGCGAAGGAAGGGATTGGGAACGGGGGGAGGGGGCCTTCGTCTCCTGCGTCCCTGACACCAGACGGGAGAGTGCACAGAGACTGCGCTAGAGCGCAAAGATGATTTCCAGCCTATCGGGCCCCTCAACAGCGCTAGTAATACGTTTCATAGCTTTTTACTGTACAGATATATTTTTAACCTATGCCTGAGAAGGGAAGGAGCTCAAGGGTGGGTGTGCTGTGTGGTGTGGTTGTTCGATTCTTACCTCATCTCAGCTTCTTGCACAAGATAATCGTCTCACCAACCCTAGAGCTCCTTCCCTTCTCAGGGTTAGGTAAAAAAAATATCTGTAACATAAAAAAGCCATGGAATGTATTATAGCTCTATTGGAAGGACTGAGAGTCTGAAAACCATCTCTGCGCTCCAGCACAGTCTCAATGCACTCTGCCATCTGGTGTAAGAGACGCAGAGTACGAAAGGGCGCCGCCACCCCCCCCCCCCNAAAAGGGGCCCCCCCCCCCCCCCCCCCCCAACTACATTTTCACCCGAAATTCTATGAAGCTATGACCCACAGACGGCTGTCTCTGTGGCACATCCAGAAGAGTCATCGAATCTCACCCACGATGCTCCTTGACAAATCACCTACGAGACAGCCGTGAAGCCTAGGAAGGGGTTGCTGCGTTGTTGGTGTTGGTGGGACACCTGATCGCCGAGATTTACGCTCCTCAGCAACAAAGTTCGGTTGTTCAAAGGAAGCGTCCGCAGCGACAATGTATGCCTTCTTCACGACCACGCTCGACCTCATGTTGTCTCTTCGGAAAATCGCCGAACTTGGATGGGAAGTGCTGCTCTCCTTGTTCGCCAGATCTTGCTCCGTCCGACTACCATCTACTTCGATCTCTCAAACATCACCTTCGCGATAGAAAACTTGTTGATCGCTCGGAACTAGAAACTGAGATTTCCAGCTTTTTCGAATCGAGGCCGATGCATTTCCGTGCTTCAGGAACCGCAAAATTCCCGGACGTTAGACATGTGTTGTGGACCGCGATGGAGGCTATACTACTGATTGAGATCCTTTTTTAAAGGAAGTTTTTGAAATGAAAAGGAAAAATCGATTGAGGCTTCCCTCAACCTGATACTTCCATTCATTTTCATTTATCCCAGCAGAAACTATAATGTTATCTCTGACCGAATCCGCAAATTTAACTAATGTAGTCCCATCACTGATATCAGTTTTAGTAGGTTGCTGCATTTTGTTTCGTTTCCCTGAAACTGTACTGAATCCATCACGTCACGATTTTACGAAAAGAGGCCAACTTCACATGGGACTTGCTTTAACCGGTTTTATGTGTGTCACCTCATTTACAAAGTAGTCATTATTCTACTGCTAGCGTTTAATACATAGTGGTTAGAATCTACAACCATTTCGACAATTATATTACCTTTCTCAGTGTAGAGATCTACCTCAACGGTCGGATTACCGCGAGAATCGTAAATCTGGCGAGCGTGGATTTTCGTGATAGGCATGCCTGAAATTTATGACCATTTTCGTTAGAAGACTTCAAAACCAAAAACTAGGCTTCGGCAAGCAGAATCCAGCACCAAATACATAACAGGAGAAAAGGCGAGAAAGTGGTAGATGAATGACAATGAATAAACATGAGAAAAAAATTCAGGTTCAGAAAATGCATATGAGGTCATGATGACCAAAATACATGGAAAAAGGGGGAAAACAGTCCAAGTGTTGAAGAACCATTGACTGACAACCCCCACATTATTTCACATTAGCCCTGTGCGGTTAGGGAACTCTGGATCTGCAAAATAGCCCGAAAAGTCAATTACAGTAGAGGCTGATCATGTGCGACATCCACTTATTCCAGTTTGCGAAAGCGCTGAGATTCTCAAAAGGTAGGCCTCTACCATCAAATTCGAGGAATCTAATATCATAACAAGAATAATCAGCATTCAACCTTCATATCGATATATTTGCAGCCAAGACTTCTCCATAAATGTACAAAAGCCAAAATAGAGATAAGTGCTAAGCTGGCAAAGTTCACGCTGAAGTAGGAGTGCTAAATCGAAGCTCTGCGCACGGTGACCTTGGGGTGGTAACAACACAACCATGAACGTTCGATCTTTGCTCAGCCTACCCCACAATACGCCCCGCCCTATGCAGAAAACTGACCACCCTTCCTTCAACAGTCTCCAGCCAACCACTTCTTCCTGGACTCTATAGAACTTTCTGAACAGAGCTATGAAATCGTGTGAAAGCTCTTTTCACTCGGATGAACACCCGTCCCATCATTGTGCCGAGCTTCGCTTACGGTTAGTTTAAACTCGAACACTCCTGTCCGATGAAGCGGTTTGTCATCTTTGTATTTTCTGAAGAGGCTGCTTTCGACATCTCATATGCGAACTTGGTCGACATTGCTAATGGGAAGCTGTTTGTAAAGTAAGTGGGTGTATCAAAAAACCACTGCTTGCGCAGAAAAGATCAGAAAAATACTGCCAGCAGGGCTGGTTTTCGCAACTGTTGTGTGCTATTGATATCGAGTACCTAGAGTTCACTGATTGTAGAATAACCTCCAACTTATTTATGAGAGTAAGACCTTAGTCTTCTCTACACTTCGAAACGTACCCCCCAAGCAGTGAAGACTCCTCCTAAGATTGCAAGTTCGCAAAGGGAAGCGCCAAGTGGAGCAGACTGCCCAGGTCGTGAGCCAACCGACAGACATCAGCTCTAAAATTCCTCTGCACAAAACAAACTTCTGTCAACGCTCGCAAAAGGAATGGGTGAGGAAGCATCCGCGGCGGTCTCCGTGCCTCAAACGAGCTAATGCTCTCGCATTTTGCCAGCCGTCACAAGGGCAGTTTTTCATCATGTAAAAGAGCTGTTTCCCCTTTCTTTTCTTAACTGTGCTTCCCCACCCACTCTCTTGAAGCACTCTGCAGTACTTCATAGATAACATCATAATTTCTACGATACCTCGCAAGCACAACTAACAGAAATACAGCAAAGAATGCAACAGATAGAAAGGAGGGGTAACCGGCTCTGGGGTCTGCATTGGGTGCTTGGAAACTTTTCCTAGCCAGGTGTTGTAGTTTTTTGCCTGATCCTTAAAACGGAAAGAGCATCAGGATGGGTGAGGCCCTCCCAGCAGAAATTTTATGCTAGCGCGCTACTGCTTACACTTTCAAATAAAAATAAATCAATGATCTACTGAATGCCTAATTCGTCCATTCCAGTCTCTTGCACAAGGTGATTATCCTCCCCCCCCCCCCCCCCTTCCCCTCTCCCTTCAGAACCCTCCTTCCACCTCCCAATAAAGCTGGCTACCCCTCCTTCTCTGCCCTGTAGCTAGTTAATATTACAGACGATGGGTGGCCCTCCTCCCCATCTCCGACTATATTTACACCCCTTTTCTATTACCTTCACAATGAAGAGCCGCATAACGATTCAACCACACTTGCTATCTATAAGCAGATAAGCGCCTTATGGAAGGAGGAGAATGCTTACTCTGCAAATAAAATAAACAAGATCTCAAGCAACTGCTGTGCAAATGCGACCACTTCACTCCAGGACGTCTCCTTTTGCGATAAGGCATTGAAGGTAGGGCGGAAAATACGCATGGCTACCGTACTTCATTTTTCCAATGGGATTACGGCTCTATTTGTGGGAAAGCGGGCATAAACTTTGGCAATTTTGGGCTGTATAAGGTTAGACGCGGAACCGGTTCGGGAATCAGAGAACACTCAGAGGCTGTTCGCGTGCCTTGCCTGTACATTAGGGAGAGGGTAACATGATTATCGAGTAAGGAAAATAAGTCTGCGAGCAAATGAGCAAGGTAGCAACAGGTGTACCAACTGCGAATGGGTAACAGGATAGGACATTAACTCCGTTCAGACGATAAGAGGGTTCCTGAGTACAGTAGGCATTGCTTTAATGGCGACACACGAAAGCTCTATTTGAATAACCTCGACAACTTACCAATGTTTCCCAAGGGTACCCCATCCAACACTTACGAAACACGTCTGTTAAGTTAATGGAAACGGATTGCGCAGGGCAACCCGTAAAGGCAGATTTAGACCTACCTCATTGTTGTCATCCTATCTGGAAACAGAAGACTTTCAATGCGAGCAATGGCTATGACGACCGAAACATCGTGAAGAACAATGAGCCAGAAGAACAGCGGTCCTACCACGAAATGGTGTCTAATCGGTCTAGTGCATTTACGTGATGGGATAAAATGGCTTATGCGCCTCAGCCATAGCATATGAACGTCAAACAAACTGAACACTAACAGTGCGAGCGTATAATCGGCTATGTTCTGGTGATCCGTCCGGGAAGGGGTATTAGTGAAAGAAGAGAGGCGAACACATCAATGCAGAACTGGAACTACCACAGTATTAGCTGTCTATGAATGTTCAATGCTTCGGGACTCTCACACATATTTTATAGGGTTTTGCCTTTAATAACATATGAACAAGTGAAAGGCGAATAAGCGAATAGTCGTTCAAACCGGTGGAGTAGATGCGCTGGTTCTTAGCAGAGCCTCTCTTACCCAGAATGTCACCTTTTGCCGACTTTGTTCCAAGTACAGCACCTTAGTGTGGGAAAAAGCCAATAAGGCTAAGTGCCTGATTGACCTCTGTTGCCTGCATTACGAACGAAGCCTCAACATCATACTCACCTAAAGTTTGGAAGAAAAGCAATTAGAAAGGAAGTTCGACGGAAAATGAGAAACACTTCTTAAAGTTGTTGATAGAGAGGCTGATATCAGCCACAAGTGAACGCTTGGAGAGGCGAGTCAACTGACTGCAGGAGGGCGCATCGGTTAAGATTGTAATGCAGCGCCGATACGTGCCCAGTGGAAAGTACGCGAACTGGGCGGGACCTTGTTGACGTCCTTTATTGACCGCCGAAAGCTCTACACAAGGGGGAGGGGTTGGATGAGGTGATGTAGGACTTACACATCGAACTTCCATTCAAGTCCCGCCCCGCCATGAGACTCCTTGGAATTTTATCGAAAAGCTTGAAAAAGGATACAATTCTCAGCAGTAAACAATCTGGAATTCGTGAATACAAGCCCGTCATTTCCTTCAAAGCCATGACCCTGATAGAAGCACTCACCACCAACCTAGCCATTCCCCTTGGCTAGTATTTAATATGGCGAAGTTTTTGGAATAAACAAATAACAGCACACTTTCGGAGAAGGACGACAGGTGAATGGGAGGCCACTTGGGGACTACAACTAGGAATGGATGAAATAACTACCCTACCAAAGGACTTTGACCGGTAATAGATCATACATCAGGTCGTTGGATCGAGTCGTTCACTGCAAAATTTCACTTCCAAGTTGGTTTTTGAGACAGGCTTAGTATGGATGCCCTTTACCATGATCTAAAATCGTTCAAAACGATGTAAAGGACGGTCAAACTGAAAAACACAAAGGAAGAACAGGCGCGTCGAGCTATCTGCAGAGCACTGAAAGAGCGCCAAAGAGCGGCAAGCGCCGACGAGAACAGGGCGATGAGAGAGAAAAGTTCCGATCGATCGCGCACTGCTGGCAAAGCAGTTGTGGTTGTTTGGAAAAAACCACCCATCGCCTCATCGCAGCCGGCTCGTAATCAGTGGTTTAGAGGATTCCGATGCAACAGAGTGCAAACATACTAATCATTGCCGACAGACTCACTAATAACAAGCAAAGATACGATTGAACGCAGTACTGGGGAAAAAACCACGTTGAACGCTCTGGTATAATTGATCGTAGCCGTTAGTGAATTATAAGAGCATCCGGGAGGCAGTGGTGACCGCTTCGATCAACACAGCTGTCAATAAGGACAAATTAGGTTCAGTGGGCTTTCACTGTGAACAAAAGGAGTGAATTCCGATGAACGAAATTATTGATGGCCTGTGGGCAAAGAGGTGGGTGTTCTCAATAACTCATCGAATCTGATGGTAGATTGAAGAAAACGGACCATATTTGTCCGTGGTCCAACTGTCAATCAGCGACCGCGCATGAGGCACGAGAATCCAGTATGCTGATAAATTAAGAGCGAAGCAACGACATCAACGAAGGCATAGGCGTTAAGTGGCAGAGCGAGAATAAAAAAACGAGGGAGACAGCCGGAAGGCCCATTAATCCATCGGCGGTGTGATGCAATTGAATTGAAATTGTCGCTTCGCGGCAAGAGCGGCGTCGCGCGCAAAGGAATGTAGTAGAAGGAGGCGTAGGTATCACAGGGAGGAAGAATTACAGGAACAAAAGAAGTAACAGTAGAATCATGCCGAAAATAAAAATTGTATATCAATCGAGCTGTTTGAAGAACGCTAGAAGTGCTATAACGAGGCAACTCGTCCATGACTGCCGCGTGCGGCGAATCAGTTACACAAAACCGATCCAACTGAGCGTTTCCCGTCCTTCGATTTTGCAGATGTGTTTCAAGGACATCTAGGAGGATCGTAGAAAATTGAGGTTTTAGCAATCGTACCATTCATGCATACTTATCGATACCAAGGGTTTTACTTCGTTAACCTTGTTTCGGTATTACATTTTAATCCTTATCAGATCTCGTAATAAAAGCTAGCCCTGTTTACCGTGTTGACGTACACATTTCGGAAGCATGAAGAGATTACATTGGGGATCCAAATTGAATTTGAGCACTTTCTTGGTGAGTTTTCGTGGTGAAAAAGTCGCAAAACGCCTTCTAAAGCATCTGTAATATGCATCTCGTTTCGTAGAGACCCCTCCAACTTTCCTCCGGCTGACGAACTCCCCTGACATTCAGGGAACCAAGCCTTTCTGGGTTGACAATAAGATACATTTGATTCGGATATTTCTGTTTTCGAAGCTTTGATCATCTCGATGAAGATGTAGTTAGAAGGGCTGCTTTCGGACTTCGACGTCGGTCCGTCCGTCCATTCGTACGCGTCGTGTGCGTGCGGCGGCGCTAGACGGGTGTTGACAACACTCGATCACGTGCCAGCACCGTCAACACCTGTCTAGCGCCGCCGTCGCAGTACGCACGCGACGTCGGATGGATGGACGGAGCCGAGGGAACATTTCACGGTGTTCTGCGTCCCTAACGCAATTGGCTAAAGCACAGAGAAGGATAAGGCGTAACCAAGGAATCTGTGGTGAGGCTCGGAAATGATTCTGAGAAGGGGCGATGGAGTTCTTGCTTTAAGCGTTAGTAAGGGAGCAGCAAAGGTGAGTGGAAAGTTGAGTCTATGTGTCGCCTTGGGATGGATTAGAGAAAGACCAATAGCTTTCATCAGAGGTAGCCAAACAAGGATGCGAACATGAATGTTCCATGCAACTGCACCACCTGTTCCCTCACAAGGGAATTATATTCGACATATAATGTAATTTTGTTCACGCATACCACGCAGCGATCTTTACTGAAATATTACAGATGATATAGCCTCACAGCTGGTAGCAAACGAAGTTGCACGATTGTTTACTTTCCGATGAACTTATGATCCCCTTCTGGTTCTCATACACAACAAACACAGAGGAATTCGATCAATGTGAGTCATTCATCTCATTGAGGTTTTTATGCAATCAAGGCAAGGCCGAATTGTTACGCAAAGACTCAGTGATCGATGAAAAATCGTTGGAGTAATCCTTATAAAACCTTGCTGAAAGAAACAGGTACAAACCTAGTGCTTAGCTATTTAGACTAAAGACCTTTGCCAAAACCGCTCACGAGATTTACTTTGAAATACTCGCGCCCAGATAATAACGAGAAAAAGTATGGGATCTGCGCATTTGTTGATAAACATGCAGTATATAAGCAACAGCAATCATCAAAAGGCAATGAGAAATGGTGGCAATATGTACAAACATTGCCATTATGGATACTGAACCTGATCTTTTTCGCCTGCACCATCATATAGTTCTGTGAAAGACTCAAAAAGATAAAATCCGTATTGTGAAGACCATAACAAAGTAGTGTTTTGAAATTTTATTCAGCTAACTTTATGACGTCAGATCACTTGGTCGAAACGAATTGTTTTCTTTTAATATCAAACCGTTTGTCTGGGTACCTGTAAAATAATTGCTAAAAATCTGCAATTTGCACCCCATGTACAGATGAGTTAGTTCACTGACACACAAACTAGTGGAGAAATCCCAAGTCTTACCTGTCCATTCGCCGAGCTACTTCGTTATCCCACGGCATGTCCTTTTCAGGGGGAGTGTAATCAAAAGTCTAGAATGGGTAGCAAGTAGAAATATAAAGGTAAAGTAGTACGAAGTTATGGCAAACAACCTGGTCTTCGTAATCGAACCAATCAGCTTTCGGCTTGAACTGCCGGAGAAGACGTTTGTTTCGTAGCCCGAAAACTTTACCTCCAGTTCCAGGAAACGCTGTTACTCCTAAAATGCTGGTTCAATAATAAATGCTTTGCAAAGATAAAATTATATTTTGAAATGACTTATAAAATGAACGTTATGTCGCTTGAACCAACCGTCCAAATATTTTACACAAAGAAACAGTCGAGAGGAACGTGTAGACCCGTCCCTATTATTGATTTTACTTTATTTGCATACTTTTGTTACCAAACTAAACCTATACAATCGGTAACGATTACAAGCATATTGTAAGTTTGGCGGTCGATATGTTTACGCCACGTTCGGATAAATTGTCTAATGAAATATATCGTGGAATACCGCCTCCCGAATTTACCTGTAACTATACTAATACTTCCTACAGAAGAATTCATCTACCCTAAAATTCCATAGATAAGAGCGGTTGAAACCACCGGTGAAAAATGAATTGGAACGAAATTGAAATTGAATGCAGTCACCCTCTAACTTGATGGATGGATAAATTAAACTTCGAAGAAGAAGNCTTCTTCTTCGAAGTTTAATTTATCCATCTATCAAGTTAGAGGGTGACTGCATTTAATTTCAATTTTATTCCAATTCATTTTTCACCGGTAGTTTCAACCGCTCTTATCTATGGAATTTTAGGGTATTTTAACCCGTTGACCACTTTAAGGTAAAAATTATTTTCGTTTCAAAACTTATATTGCGTTCAGTTCTTTTCCATTGATATCCCTTCGAATTTAGTGAGAAAATGCAGATTTTTTTGAACTAAGCAGAACTGGACGTATTTCTAGAACAACTGCATCGAGCGTGGCAGCTGTTTCAAGTTCTTTGGTTTGTCGTATCGAACAACTACGATGTTATCAATTCACACGGAGCAAAACTTCACGCGTGGCAGCTGGAAGGCTTACCGAGTAAGACTGGGATAGGATTATGGTGATTATAACAACCAGAGGTCAATAATCGAAAGACTGAAGAGAAAGCATAACATATGTAGCTTGAAATGACGCTCCCTGTTTTGCTGAGCAACATTACCTTGGCCGGCCTTAATTTGCGGTCATCAAACCGTGGGTTTTGAAGGATCGTGGTTTCAGGTGTTCTGCGGACCGTTTTTCAGAAAAGGTTCGATACAAGCTCATTACAAGACAATTATCCTAGTGAGCAAGCCGAGCAGTGATACCCTATTTTCTTGTACATGTCAAGAATACTTTATGAAATAAGCGGCGACCACCTATTGATAGAGGACGCAGCAGTTTATTACCAAGTAAGCGAAGGCTCCATTCATACTAACGTCGCTCTTGACCGTTGATCGATGTCCCTCAGCTTTATGTCTCATGCTGCATTTAACACCTTTCGAGCGTTCCAAACGCAGAAACAAATGTACAAAGGTATTATACCTCATCTTGCGTCACGTGGATGAATTATCGATCGCAAGGAATAGCATTAAAAATTACTGACATTAATATCAATTGACCTTAAATTATAAAGAAACGAAGGCTACCCTATGTAAAGCGAAGCCATACTCAACGGTTCCCTTTGGAGTAAAGCGTCTAGAGAATTTGACGCAAGAGCGTCAAGCGCAGTGGTTCGGCGGTTGAAACGAGATTACATTATTATGAAAGAATTCTTTTACCCCAATATGTCGGAGAAAACAAACCAGTCTCCCGTTTGAAACACCACTAGGGCTCCATACTCACGACATAATGCGTGAAGTTCGAAAGGAAGGTTATATCACCTCATTTAAATGCAATTACTTGAAATGACAAACGCGGTATAGATCTGCTTGCAGAAGAAACAGAGAAGAAGCAGATGAATAGTTTATTGTCGAAGTGGAAAATAGAAGAGTAAAAAAATGAAGTGGTAGAACCAGTTCGTTTCAAGTGAGTTGTAGAACATTTCCAGTGATGCTTTGTGAGCAATTTTGGCGGCTTTATTCAGTTACGTTGATGATACAAACGCCCGTTCTCCTTTAGACAGTAGAATGAATGCAACCTTTCCCTACTAAATTGTGGTATATGTATAAACCTTTGCAACGTCATTTGCCAAGAATTTGACAACAACTATTCCGAAAAGAGGTTCTCAAATATACAAGAAAAGATGTTTGACGCAGAACCTACACACTGAGGTGAGCATGTGTCCAACTACCTCTAGGAAACAAGCCACTACTTCTATGTCCTCAGAAATTCCTCCGAAAGAAACTCAAGGACCTCGCTTTTCCAAAGAAACACTATCCTGATCAACGCTTAACTTCATGGTTTGCATTAGCAACATTACTTTTGCGTACTCGAAAGATCTCAGCGCCTAAAAAAAAGGTTGCAACAAATGTCGCAAATTAATCTTTTGCTTTTCATCTTAGCAAAACGGTAGTCTCTGAATAAATTCACTAATCTCTAAATAAATTTCCTTCTGCTATTTATTCACTGAGTATAGCCAAGAATTGGGAAGTGAATAAGAGAATGTCAGGAAAAGAATACTGCGATATGAGTGTGAGAGCTAAAACTACCTCCATGCCATGCTTCTATATCTTCAGGGTGGAATCTGAATGCATGCTCCATCATATAAACATTAGCCGGCTTGGATTCCATTCGAGAAAGTCTAAATGAATAACTTTACGATGACCATAAACAGCATGTGTGTAAAACGTACTTCGCGTAATTTGTAATATTTGAGACTGGCTCTTCATAAAAATCGATCACATCCTGAACAGACTTTAGGTGCATGAGGCGAGAATTCGTAGGCCAATGTTTGAACTTCTCAGCTGCAGCCACGATAACCTAAATATGTACAGGCAGTCAACAAAGAATGCAAATATGAGATGTTCCAGATTCGAAACCTGCGGGTAATTTTACCGTGCGAAATCAGCTAGTTCATTGGGGAAAAGAATGCTCGAAGGACGAGCAACTTCACAGCGTCGATTAAACATGTGATAATATTTGAAAAGGTGAATGCAAAAGTGGAACACAGAGTGACTGGAGATACAGTGAAAATAACTATCGACTTTGATATGAATCATGACTGGGGATACAGTGAAAATAACTATCGACTTTGATATGAATCAAAGGACTACAAATTAGATGGAAGTTACCTTCATTTTCTCACTATTATCCTGTAGACGACATTGAGATATGTCCGTTGGTGCTTGATCACCATTTTTTGATAAATATTTTTTTGCTATCGATAAAACAACATCTTTCACATCACTTGGTGGTTTATAGTTGTAGCGATACTTGAGAAACCTAAAATACTTTGCAAGGATGTAACAAAACATGCACTCATACATATTCGCAATACAACTCACCCACGTGCCCGAATAGAATCTGCATCTATTCGGTAGTCCAAAATCTCATCTGTGTCATAGCTTTCAGCTTCAACGCGAGACTTTGACTTAGGTGCATCAGGCCGAACAGTGGGAAGTATCCGTCTTAGTTTTTCCTAAACAGTTAAATTAGTTTTATGTGTAGAACACGATGTTATATGATTTCCATGGGTTGTAATGAGTTTATTTTGTAACATAGTCAAATTATGAAGTAAAGCCTTAATTGAGCTTCATGAGAAAAAGTAGTACGAGTAGGAATCGTAAAATGATTTCAAAGCAGCAACTAAGGTGCTCGTAAATCCCGAGCAACCAAAGAAATGTAATCCACATATTTAAGCATAGTGGACATTTCACGAAAGGTACACTTCGATGAGGAGATTACAAAAAAATGCTCGAACGATGTCCACCAAAGCTGTTAATAACATTTGGGAGCGTTTTTCTTGAGTTCTCACCAAAACCACTAAATACAATTTTGCGAAATAGACTGTGAGAAGAAGGACAAGTTATTTGTGCGTGGTTCCGAAGCACATCTTCCCCGCCGCTTCTGCAAAACTTCGAGAAGATTTGTGTGAAGAATCTCTACCTCGTACTATTGAGGAGTATCTAGTGAGTAGGTTCACAGCGTCGGCTAAAAGAACATCTACGTTGAGGATATATAGTTAAAAGGGAGCTCACAAGCAAGCTTCAACATCTAAATAATTCGTAACTCTCTTTCACCAGGATTTCCTCGGACTCTTATCTGCGTTGGGGGCACATCAAATGTTTCTAGACGATTAGCTCTTTCTGCACCACTAACTGTTTCAAAGAAAGCGTGGGCTAGGGCAGTCACGATCATGGTGGGAGGAAAAGAGCCAGCAATCATCGCCATATTCAAGGAACGGCTTGAAACTGCGTAGTACTTTAACTACAGAGGATCACTAGTCCCGCGCACTATCAAGCTTATTGAGAGGCTCATCCTAACAAGGATGAAGCAGGCCTTTAGTTTCTCCGAAAAACATCAGCTTTTAAGTCTCCATGCTTTAACAAACGTTGTCGTCATCCCCACAGTCTCCATCGGGAGTACAACGAAATCTATGGGCACGCTCACAGTATCTGGAATTCCACGTTTCCATGCTCAGATGACCCGCGCTGAATTCCTCGGAGGGAATGAGGGCTTCAGAATATAGGATAACACGCGCCGGAGAGCCCCCTATATTTTTAGATGCGATCTCGATTAAGTACCATTATTTATTCCTTATAGTGGGCATTTTCGCAAAATTTTCTATTTTCCACAAAAAAAACCATATTCATTTTTCGTGCTGACCTCTAAGTTAGTAGGAGCGGACCTTATATGTAGGGCATGTTTGCAGGAACTTCCTCTAAAATCCGTTTTCAAGTTGAAAATTCCTTCATGAAGGTTGTTTTTTTAAACGGCCATGTGAGGAAATACCTGCTCTTGCTTTGTGAGCTTTGTAGCTTCAGCTTCCTTCACGGCTTTCGACCTGCCAAAAAGGGAAGACAACAGTGTCCTTGCTCGCACATAGCCCACATCAGTCAATCTCATCACTCTGTAACAATACTGATTTGGACGGTAAATGCACGAGCACACGCATTCGTAAGCAAAGGTCGATTTTACCGTGGTACCTCGCAGGATTAAGGAAAATCACATCACTTGACTTTTAAATTCCAGAGTAATACCATCCCATGGGAGAATATTTCCGACACATAAAGGAATTTTTGAAAGAGTACGAGACGAGCTCACACCAAATTGTATTTAAGGATGTCCCTTAGCGTGAGAGGTGGGATGATACATCAAAGACAATCCGTCTAATATGTGAACATCTTCAGAATCACAAACTAATTCGTGTTTATCTACTACTACTCGATGAAAAATTTGAGGCAAATTGTGTGTAATATTGCGTGATCGCGAAGCTGCAACATCCACACCGCAATTTACGTCATCTGCTGTGATATACAAATCATCTATTCAAAACATTGGCGTGGTGTCGCCTCCCGAAGTAGTTCCTCATACTACCCTCCTTCAAGAATTCCTCAGGAAAAACAGCCTCTCTCAAGCTATTTACCATCTTACTACGTCTCAAAACCAAGGGACGATTCGTCGATCCGGTCGCAGTCAACTCAGAGAGGAGAGAGGTCAGACTTCGTGGGCAAAACGAAACTCTCTGCTTGCCAAGAATTTTTACCAAAATTACATTCGGCAGTCATCACATTACATGTTTTGGACTAGATGTGGACCATAGTTAAAGAGCCAATCGGAATTTCATGTGGATTTCGCTTACAGCTGCGTACTTCAAAGAGCTATTCATCCCTTGATATTCAGTAGCTAAACGCGTGATTTCAAGAATTGAAGCTCTTAGGGTGAATTGGAGTCGGATGTCCAGCGTTGCGAGATATTAAGCACGAGAGGCGTTTCTATGTATGACTTCAGAAGATTCGTACAACATGGATTTTACAGTCCCGCGAATGCGCGACGCAGTAGCCCCCGCAATGTCCTACCAATACCTCAAGGGTCTCGTCCAAAATACTTTTTTGTTGAATCTGACGGGTGTTTGGTTGACGTTGTTTGACGGGTCTTGTAGTTTTCGGGTTTCTGCATCACGCATTCACGGGATTAAAATTGCCCTGTAGAGTCGTAGATGAGGTAGCGGTAGGGGCTAGATGTTCTTCACCGCAATGTAGGTTGTAGCAATTAGGAGTGCCCTAACGGTATAGCAGAAAAGGGTAAGCAAAATGCTAGATAGATAGAATAGAAGACGATTATGGATTGACTGGAATATATTCTTTTTTACTTGAGCTTTCGATTTGTAGCAATAATATTAGGTTGTAAGGAAAGTTCTGTCAGCTAACTTTCAAAAAAACATAACTCATTTCAAAGTGAACATTTTTATACAAAATAATTCGATTCTACACATTTTTGTTAACGCGATACAAATCTGTCTATCCCATTCTTAAAGTCCAGAGATCTGGATTCCAAGGACTCGAGAAAGGCAGCTTCCATGTCGCCTTGATTATTGAATACTCGATCCTGAAGAAGTTATCCTGAAGCTGGAATAAATGATAGTAAGTTGGTGGCATGTCTGGTTGAGTAGGGTGGATGAGGAAGAGCTTCGATTCGCAGCTCGTTCAACTTCTGGAAGACAGTTTGTGACTGGACCGTGGCGACTGATGCTGCTGGCTGCATTTGCCCCAGTTTCGTGTACATCTCGTGAATTCAATCACAATAGGACTGTGCGATGATGATGATGGACATGGAGGAAAACGGCGTAGTGGATTAATCCATGGCTGGGCCATCAAACTGTGGCACTGTCTTCTTGACGTCTTAACTTGGTTTGGGAAAGGTTTTTGGAGGCTCATCCAAACCTACCCACTGAGCAGAACCCTTCCTGTTATCATACAGGATCCATTCCTCATCACATGTTACAATACGATATAGAGAAGGCCCAACAACATTTCTTCTCAACAGCAAGCTTGAAGTCTCTAAACGCTTTGATTGTTGCTGCTCCGTGAGTTCGTGTGGCAGACTCTTGTCAAGCTTATTCACCATTCCGAGCTGCTGGAGGTGAGCAGCGACGGCTGTGGTAGAGACACCCATCTTCTTGGAAATCCCTCTTAAAGGTATAGGTCGATCTTTTTCGACTACTATTAGCAAAACATCGTGATTAACTGACGTGACGAATCCCCGGAACTTTCCTAGCAACCTAATATCAATGATTGGCAAGATTTCATCGAAAAACAGATAAATGAATTAACCCGAGCCAGTGTTTCAGAGAAAACTGTAGGTAGGGCCTTGAGGCAGAAGGTTTGTGTAAAAAATAGGGAAGCTTGCACATTAATCAGGTTTCGAATATAGTACCAGTAGAATAAGGTGGCATGAATTCAGGCAAGAGTGTGAAGTTCGAACATACCAAGAGAGAGAAGCGGCAGAAAGAGTACACGGAGAGAAATTAAAAGCGAAGCAGAACACCAGACAAGGCTTTAACGAGAGACAGACGGTGAAGGAGAAGTTGTGCACAAGAATCGCTGGAGGGAAGATATTTTTGCCATTTGCACAATGTTAAGAATGCGAGGATGCGCAGACAACAAGAAAGCGGTTTTTAACAAGCAGCTCGACTCACCAGAAAAAAGGAGAGTGAGCCCGTCTCTGAAGACAGCAAAAGGATGGCAAAGGCCTAGCAATGAACGCCGAGAGATCTTAAATGGAAAGGCAAATTGAGGCTGACTACCACAAAGAAGCGCATCGGCAACAAACTTCGGAAGGGCCCCTACTATGTGGGGCTCTGAGAAGGAGGAGGAAAGAAGATAAACCAGATTGGAGCAAGAAGCAGAAAGATCAAGAGTTCGAAGGCAACAAGAAAGTGACCAGGTCGCTCGCTTAACAAGCGAAGCCGGGGGGGGGGGGGGGGGAGGGGATCGAATGCGAAGACAAATTGAGGATGACTACCACAGAGAAGCGCGTTAGGCAGCAAACGCTGAGAGGGCCAGAGCTATAAGGGATGCTGAAGAGGAAAGAACGAAAGCAAGATTGGTGCAAGAAGCAGCAATATCAAGAATTCAAAGGCAACAAGAGAGTGATGAGAGATTCGACGACCACAAGATATTTTGAGAGCGAGGTTACGAAGAGGGCAGGAACATGAGGTGATGACCCAACAGCTTCGTGTTGCCTCAGCACAGCGGGAGACGAGAGGCCGTGAGCCATCAGAAGAGACTCAACAGAGACGAAAAGCCGTAGCAGAGCGGTAACACACGCGTGGCAGAAGCATCTCAGCTTGAACACGTGGAGTGGCACGGACGAACACGGACGAACACTATGACGGACAGATGAATGCAGCATGTAAAAGTTGTGGGCAAAAGATTTCAAGTCAGAATCGAAGGGCAAGAGACCTTTCAACGATTGCTGCAGTCACAGTTACAGCAGCTTGCAACACTTCAATAACTACCTTGCAGAGCTCCTGCAATGCTTGCAAGTCAGGAACTTGAAGCAAAGAGTCGCGCGAACTCATTTGTAGCTACAATAGTGCATTCGTCTTCGCTTCCATGGGTGCACAGGTGAACATCTACGTGGCCATGGTCCATACTGTTTTCGCACGCATGGTCAGACTTACCTTAGAATAATTCCTGTGAGCTGTGGGTTCGCCTATCTTCGGATAGGCGAACCCACAGCTATGGCTAGGTTTACATTCTGGATACATGTATGGGTGCAAAGGAAAGAATGGGAGAGCCAGCTAGTAGGAATTGTAATCCCGGCCCACTCATTCGTTTGGTCAACTTCTGCATCGATCTAACGTCCTCGCACAGGCATACAAGATTCTTGATGAAGTGGCTGTAAAGGAAGAAGTGCGGGTTGCTAGAGAAGGAATATCGGCAAAAGCGGCACGAATGGTCTTTGGAACACCCGCAAAAGCATATCGCTATTGATGCAACGCTCCTATAGCCAACGAACTAGCCGCGATTTAAGTTGAAACGATGGAGATATGCCTGTAGAGCACAGTCTAGCAGCTACCAAAAAATTGGAGGCTTGCAAACATTCGAGTAATTGATTCCCAATGCGACACTCTAATTTACCGCGTAATCCCCTCACGGAGAATTAGGGTGGCATCCAAATATGCTTAAGTGTTCAACTGAGGGAAGTCGAGCCAGAACAACTCAAAAAGAATGCTACGATTGGATGATAGTTGGAAAAACTGAATTCAGCCATCTCCACTTCGCTAAGAAACATTATCAGCATTTCTTAATGAATGGTTATGTCAGATTGTACAAAATCGACTAGCCTTAGGTTGGACGGTGACCGCTGTCTCGCTGACCACTTGACAGGTGATAGCAATATTACACGTCCGCAGGGTGTTAGAACAGTCATCGTGCCACCTTCTTTTCTAGCGTCACCTCGTGCATTACTTCTAAATTATCAAGGCGCCTTGATCATTGTATCTAAATATGGAAAACCGGGTCTCTTCATTAGATTCAGTTATAATCCGGCATGAAGTCCGGAATCTGCCTCAGCCAGCCTGAATAGCTGGAAAATGGACGCATGGCTCTCATACCTGACATCTACCCGCGTATCCAGTATCAAATTACGCTACATTACTATTATGATTTGTTCAAGGCAAACATTTCGATCGGTGAACATCTCGGCAATGGAGGGGCTTGTTAGAGAACAGTACAAACCACGAAGTGTAAGCGACATAGGCCCTCAGATACGATTTTCATCCCTGGTCAAGCACTGAACCTCCTTTAAAATATTGCTACGAGCTGTATGATGCACAGCATCGCCAGCCTAATGAGGGTAGAATATGCGTTTCAGAAGGAAACCTTTTGGACAACAGATTTGTAAGACCATACAACAGGTGCTGAGCGCTACGATACAATGGGCATTTGAATCCAAAAATGCGTGGGATGAATCAAGCTATCAAGCACATGTGCTAGTACGTCTACAGAGACCTGACCGAGCAACACCTCACTATAGTGGGAAGAAATGACATCATAAGCCAGAGAAATCAATGAAATTGATGGATTCGTAAGCGCGAGATACGTGTTCGGGCTTTACAT